TTCAACTAAGCATTTACATTTTACCTGAGCTAAACCGTTCAGTACAGCGGCACGAACGAACCACTGCGTGTTGATTTGATCTTTTTTCTTTCGCATTACGCCCCGGTACGACGAGGGCCGGTCTGTCTCCTTCCCCGCCCGCCGGAGGCTCCCGCCCAACCCCCCTTTCCCGCCCACTAGAGCGCGCTCTTCCCCGCCCACTACATCGGCACGGGCTGCATATTCCACACCCACACACCTGCTATACGCCTCACGCAGGGGCCCTGGCCGACCCGACCCGGGCCGGGCAGGTGGGATTCGGTCGGTGGGTCAGCCAGGTCGGGTCGGTGGGTCAGCCGGGTTGGTGGATCAGCCGGGTTGGGTCGGAGGTCAGGGTTAGACCGGTTAGCGTCAGTCAGTGAGACACCACCACCTGCCCGAGACGGTTTACGAGATAGCCGACCGAGTGCGGCGATAGGGGTGGGAATCAGCCTCGCAGGCATCACTGATAGCTGCATGTTTACGTGCTGATAGCCGCCTCTCAGCATACACTTGGTAACATCCTGTGCATGGTGCACACGAGGAGCTGTCCGCCGGCCTGGGGCTGGCCGCACTAACCGACAGAGGTGAACCGGAGCGCAGCTTAAATTTGAGCACATTTTACATAACAAATTAATGGGTAATCCTAGGAGAAAACTTCAATGACCTTGGAGTCTGAGACTGAAACTCACGCTATTATGCACAGTCTCCCAAAACATGTGAATATAATGTGGAAAGGATATATATATTTCGAAACGATTGTAAACTAGGATTACGCAAATGCGACGTTTGCTAATGTTCGCCACATAAAGCCATAAAACCTCAAAAGTTTGCATGCTGTACTCATAACTTTCATTCTTTTGTAGTATTTGCACTGAGGCAAGGTGTAAGCTGAAATATAACCAAAGCTACAAGTTTCAGCATTTTGTAATGCAGCTCGGTTAGCCAAGTCACTAAGAACAAAAAGCGTTGTGTTTTGGTATAAGTTTTGTTAATGCCAAAGAAAGATCATACACAAAGAAAGTCGGGGAAAGGTCATTCACTCCTACGAAATATTAATGAATTCGAAACATTTGCCGGTGCGTACGACCATAGGTATTAGGCATTTATTAAACCGCGAGTAGGCAGGAGCAGGGCAGGAGAACCATTGATGCTGACTTGTGATTTTCCGGCGCCCGGACTTCAGAGGTCATCGGCGCCCAGAAAAAAAAAAAAACTTTTGAAACAACAGAAACACATTGAGACATCAGGCAAAACCTTTAGCAGATTACCGATTACGAGCGCATCAATTATAACATCCGAATTTCCTCAGCATAAAGCAATACTGAATTGACTTCTTTCGTTTCAATTATATTTTGCTATCGGTGTAAAAGTATGGCATATGAGTGCTAATATGAGATTTAAAGTCTCTAACAAATGCAAAATAACAATTTGAAAGAATAATCATTCGCAATCCCTGTTGAGTTATCAGCAAAGTCCAACACTCGGTAGCCTACTTACTCACGGCTATAGGCCTCAGGACAAGCTTTTTGTTTATTTTGTTTTGTTAGGTTAGGCCCTTTCGGTCCAATGAGACCATTTCAGAGACGGGAGGATGATAGGATAGAGGGGGAGACATTGGCCTGGGCAGGCACCCTAGTGAGTCACCGGGGCTGAGCCCGCTCCAAGGGAGCAGCCCGCATGAGATAAAGTTGCCTGTCCAGCCCGGAGGGGGTTGCGGCGTGGAGGAGAAGGATTTCTGTATCCTGAGGATAGAAGCACGGAACGGTGTGAGTCAGGACAAGCCTTTCAAGAGAAAAAACAATCGATCGTCTCTGAACTTGTAAGCTTCCAGTTACTGTCTGTTCGGCTCGTAGCTGCATGACAAAAGTTTCAAATCGTTCGTAGCAAATATGTGGTGAAACATAAAAACAGCACCGAGGGATCACAACAAATACAGTTCAACAATGCTCATATACCGTCACATCCATCGAACTCAGTAGCCCTAGTTTGTCTCAGAAATGCACAAATGAGAAGAGCTCGGAGGACGCACCTAACACTTACGGATAAAGTTTTGTGATTAGTGGGTCGCCGACCGCGCTGCCGGTGCAGGATCTCTGAATGTGGAGGCAGCGGAGAGGAATGCCATCGACAGGAATCCTTTACTGGTCAGCGGCGTTGACCAGTGTGTCAAGTCGTGCAGAACAGGCTCAGATTATCATACCTACAGGGACTTGACCTCGTGTGACTCGAACAGTGCACTAAATAGATCGCCAACTCTATTTTCTTATAGTCAAACGGCAAGGAGCATGGGGAATTTAGAATCGGGAGCGTCGTAGCATACGAGGGGGTATCGAAAAGTTCTGATCATCACCACGAATGAGATGTGATAGAAATTTGATTTTTTTACATGATGTTCATTAATCCTTTACAAGTCACCACACACGACCGCAAACTTATTGCATCGTTTCTTGAGCTGCCTCAGGCGGTCATTGTAGAACCTTCGCAATGTCCCGTAAATCACTGCTCCATCTCATCAATGACGTCATTTCTGTCCTTAAATCACCGGCCATACTGTGGATTCTTCATCTCCCGTAACAATCAAGAGTTAGTTAATACCCGGTCAGGTGAAATTCTTAGATGCGGTAGGATTTAATGTCCACATCATGTTCTTCCTTCAATCGCAGCTCAGGACGAATGGGCGGGAGCGCTGTCGGTGCGGATAAAACATCTTTCTTGGGCTTTTTTGCGGCGATTCTGCTTGAGGCCATCTCGCAACTTCTTCAAAAGTGTGCAGTGGTGCTTGCTTATCATTATCCGACCATCATCAAGACAGTCGGTAATGACTATCCTACGCCAGATCCAGAACACTGATAGCATTGACCTTCCATATCGGCTTCTGCATCTTCGCCTTTTAAGAAGGACAGATGTGCCGTGCTTAAACTTCTTGATCATCTTTTTGTCTCTGGATCATGCACAGAGACCCAGCATTCGTTACAAGTCATCAAATTATCGAAGATGTCTTCAATTTCCTAAAAAAAGGCCTAGTTTTGATTTCGAAGGGCCAAGACGCATTTTTCTCTTGAACAAAGTTATAGACACACGAACTTCTAAGCGACCTGACTCCTTTATCGTCTGTAGTTCTTCGCTGATAATATTTTCAGGCACTGCCAGCATTGAGACCTTTCTGTTGCACAATCATCTGAAAGGTCACACGACGATCTGTAAGGATGAGGTCCTCCACTTCCTTCACAGTCACCACCTTGTCAGTCACTGGTAGCCACTCACTTCTTGACTCCCCTGCAAGGGCCATGCAACCAAGTTGAAAATTATTTCTTCATTTTCGGTAAGTGCATGAGATGGGCTTTCCTCGCCATAAACTGATTTCACGTTCTTGATGTATTTTCTCAATGTGATACCGTTTCAAATGCATTAGTTGGATGACGGTTCGGTCCTCAATGGGCCCAATACTCATCTTTTTTACTTCTAAGTCTCTCCTACATAAGATAAAACCACTTCTCAGGATTCTCTTTGCGGGAACATTGTTCTTAAGAACCAAATATAATACCAACCAAAAATCATCAAAATCGGTCTACATCTTCTATGTGATGATCAGAACTTTCCGATACCCCCTCGTACAATCACGGTTACGGGTACACATCTATGCACTACGTCTCTTTAGATAAAGTGGCCACTGAAAGAGGCCCAGAGTCGAGCCGTGCCAGCTTCAGTCCAACTAACCCCGGCTGGGAGGCTGAACGACGGCAAATTAACTCAACTATGATCCGTCGACGGCAACCCACCCCACTACGGCCACGGCCAGCAAGTTTGACGGACCCCCCCCCCCCCCACGGAACGCTGAGCACTCATCACTCGAGTGACACGAAATAAATGGCAGGCGCATTGACGTTCCGTGCTATTCGGCCAACTACCATTCATTAGGATATTGCAGCTTATGTAATTCGTCACAGCTGGACGTTTACTCCGGCGGCCCACACTTTAATCACGATCTCCCAGCCACGTATTTATGGAAATGAGGCAGCTAAGCAGATGATGCCACAGTTCACGCCAGGCAAATGTGTAGCATCCGTGAACGATACGCTTCAATCAATGGAAATTTACATGAAATACATGGCTTTATCAAACCGCACCTTCCCATAAAGTTGGTCGTGCTCGTAACAATGTTCATAACAATGACACTTAATGTGTCTAGTTTGCACATTGCCGCATTCATGTTCAGAAGTTCGCTGTGATAGAATATGGACCCAAAAAGCCACTCAATGGAGTCGAGATGTGTACTGAGTACTGAGTATTGTTTCCGTCATTAAGTCACGTAAGTTGTACTGGCCTTCCGTTGCTCCCACATATTTGGTATTTCTAGGCCGTCGAAACACGTCGTCATGAGGCGCAGCTGTCCTTACCCTCGCAGCCCCCCTCAGTAACCTGTCGGTGTCGTGCACCAATGTCGCAGAAGGGGGGGGGGGGGGAGACGTCCCTAAATTCATTACTTTAAGCACAATACATACATTAGGGTGTGTCAATGCACCATCACGGATCAAGGAACGGACGGATTATGGAAACGGATCAAGTGCTTTCACTGATAATCTGTCCAATGTCCATGTGCCTAAGGAAGTCATGTGGTACCATTCTTCCTTTTTTACACGAAAAAATGAGCAAAAGAAATGCCGCGCCAATTCTGACATTTTCACCGGCGCCCGACCTCGCAGTAGTCTCCATGCTTGTAAATACCGTGTGCGCGTTGACACTTAATACCAGCCACGGGACACAGCGCCGGCCTGGAAAGAAAGTGTGATGTTTCGGGCTGAGCCGACCTTCTGAAGCTGAGCCAACGGAGGCAGCCACGGACGGCCGCCCAGAACACCTCCGCCGGCGGCGAGCGGTGGCGCTCGGGGGTGACGGAGGGCAGCCCACAGCAGACACCGAGGGAGGGGGAGAGGGGGGTGCCCTGACCCCGGCGGTGCCCGCAGGCCAGCGGCGCTCACCTTGCGTTTGATGTTCTCCAGGCCCCAGGGCTCGTCCTTGACAAAGTCAGGGTGCGCGAAGATCATCTCGTCGGACTCGTTCCTCAGGGAGCCGGCCATTGGGGACAGCACCTTCCGGAACCCGTCTGCGGGGCGGCGGCGGCGGCGGCACAGGCCGGGTCAGCTCAGGGAAGACACGCGGCACGCCGGTACGTCCGAGACGCGGCGCGTCCAACAGCGACCAACTCGTGGTCGCAAAGGAGACACGCTGAGCCCGACAACGCCGCAAGCAAACAAGTTTACGGTATGCACACCAAGAGCATATCTTGTGCGTCGTCAGTATGTAATTCACTTTGGAACTGCATATATTGTACAGAAAGAACATGGCAACAGATATCACTGGTTCATAATACATCTAACGGAAACACGCAAGACAATTCAACTCAAAGAAGTAGCTTTTGATGACATGTTCACACAAAATACATATGACAGGTTACTTACACATGTTCAGTTGTCTGACGAAGCTGGCCATGTTGTTGTGCTTGTAATAGACGGGCAGGAGCTCCATGGCAAAGACGGCCTGATTTCGAATGTAGAACGACTTATTGCACTGAAATACACAAACGAAATTAGTGGCGCATGACACATGCTATAAATGGGGTGGGGTCGGCAAAAAAAAAAAATACTGTGAAGAATGAACTAGATAACTTCGGAAACTGACACAAGAAAATCTAGCTTATCTCCGGAGATGAGGTGACGCTAATGGGACTTTCAACATTCCCGCTCAATATTTCATGTCATGCGACGTTGAGGTAAGAGCCACAGCACGCAGTGGTTCAAATGTAATTATATTTGGGACTCGTACATCATCTCAAAATATAAATTAACAAGCTCTAAATGTCAGAGAGCACCAGGACTGACTCACCTCAGTCCAGCAGCTGATGACATAGTCTGTGAGTACCAATTCTGACTCACCTCAGTCCAGCCAATGACCGAGTCGGTGTTCTCCTCGTTGACCATCGCCCAGAGCTTGGCCAGGAAGGCCGGCACGCTGGAGCTGACGGCCTGATGCATTGTGGACTGCTCAAGCTCGCTGCCGCTTTCAGTTTTCATATGTTCCAATAGTAATAAACGGTCCTGTAAAGCTGCAACAAAAAGTGAAAATATGTGAGCTCACAGTTGAGAAAAAATTCAAGTAAAACACTTTGTTATGTAGTCGGATTAATTAAGTAAGATGACTGGAAGGTTTATTGATAATTTCGAGCACAGCTCTATCAGAATACATAGCTTTTTAGAATCATTAGAATAAAAACTTTTTAAGCTTTGTACATGTACATGTGTATGCGTACATGTGTATTCTGCCAAGTGTTTTGCTTTAACCTTTTTTTAAACTACAAGGATAATGTCACTAATCTAAAATGGATATATCCTATTGGAATGTTTGAAAACCATTCCAAGATGTCCTTTAGCTTTCAATAGCACTTTCAAGGTAATCAACCACCTTGCAAATGCTAGATTAGATTGCATGCTTTCACTGCCACTGCATGCACAGCCAAACCAAGCATGTGTACTGTGCAAATACATCATAATTGGATATTCTTATTTGTGGTCTCAATTTTTACATTTGCGTGAATGGACCCCAGTTGGACCCCAGAGCAGAATTAGATCTTTTTTGCTTTTGAGCAAAATTAGACACATGCTAGTTGATACTGGTTTTGGACTTTCAACTGCTCTCACAAGCCACAGTCCACAGATTGTCCCCATCAGATCAGATATTGATACTCAGTTGGGGAAACTACGAGGAGCCAAACAAAAATTGGATTAGCCAATCAACGGCTGGAGTGGGCGGGGCGATGACCATATATGGTCATAAAATCAGACAACTTCATCTTTTCAATGCATCCTAGCATTCAAATGAAAAAAATAAGGCATAAGAATGTTTTTTAACCACACAAGGCCCACACTCACTCGGTGCACAATTAACTGGCGGCTCTAAATCGCAGAGTTACAACACAATGTCAATCAGTGATTGGCAAATATGGCGGATTGAAACAGACGCGCCAAAAAGTGTAAACAGTACGGTGGTTTAAAAATGTCATTATTTTTATTATTTTGTTTATGGTTTTTCTAATTGTGGTTAAGTTATTATTTTTGAATTAAATATCATTGTTTATTATAACTAAATTAATTCTTTTTAACAATTTTCTTTCAAAACACCAATCCATTTATTGAATGGCCAGCTGATTGTGACGCTCAAAACCTGCAGAAAAGCCGTTTTCCTATTGCCATTTTCGAATCATTTCGCCAAATTTAATCAAACCACGCTGATTCCTAGTGGAAAATGGAAGCCTTTTCTCTCCGATAAGTGGATGCGATACCGCAAGTACCGGCTTGTCATACCGTTTTTCCCCCTTAGTAGCAAGGGCTGCATTAATGCCCATATATGGTCATCAAAAGTCCATTTATTGACGCAATCAATTTTTTATTTTCGCCTCGTAGTTTCCCCAACTGTACTGTACCGAGTGTTGGGGCATTGCAGACTTAATTTTATCATACCGTGCATTGTGCAATCAAAGTCACTAGTTCCAAGGTGAAAGAGACAAAAAGGAGAATCACAATGGGCGATTTCTGTACAAACTTCAGCTGAAATTAATATCAACTTCAACTTGGATCGATCTATTAAATTGAAATCAAATATCAACTTCAACTTACCTTTCCTTAGTACAACCCAGCTTATAGGCTTCACAGCCTTTCAACGTGATGTCAGTTGGTGACATACCAGGGAAATAAGCTAAAATTAGAGCACTCTATTTATTGCTCCTGCCCCATGTTGAAGAGATACCCCTAAAAGCGTGATCTTTTATCGGCCCTTACGCAGCAAGGCAGTAATTCTCAGACCGGTGGATGGTATCAATAGAAAGAGAATGCGTCAAGGATTAACATGAATTAATTAAAAAAACATTAAAATGTTAATTAAGCGTGGAAATTAGTCCCAAACATAAGCTAATTATTGCTCCTACCTCGGCGACGGCGCTCCCCGCAGTCGGCGGAGAAGCTAAAATAAAAGCCACCATCCTCCTTCGTAAGTCAATTTTAGAGCGGCCAAGTGGGCCGATGCGGGGCCACCAAACTGAGGTGAGACGTGGCTAGTAATTGCAAACCGCCATAGAAATCAATATCTTAAGACGTACAATATGGGATGATTACTCTGAAGCTGGAGTGAAAGCATGAGTAGATTGCAAGAAACGAAATGCATAGATTGGTTGAATTATGTACAATAGGCACAGCTCAGATGAAGCCATTTCTATGATGTTGACATATGACATAACCCTTCCTCTCCTCACCTATGACCTAAGTGCATTGGCAGTTACCGGCATAGTTTTTGAGCACGAGTGCAATTCGCCATCGGACCGCAATACATGTTGCTAGGCTGCTGCAATTACAACGAACATACGAATACTGCCTTCATTTGTAGACGTTTGTTTTTTAGGCGGTCTTTGACGTGCAAGGGGGCATACCTGTCGACAACTTGAGTTTCTCCGAATTTCAAAAACTCCCAGAATTTCAATTCCTTATGCACTGTTGTAGGTACAGCTATGTTCACAAGTTTTCGTTTCCTCCTGTTCTAAAAAGGATGATATTTGTCGATTTCGTGCGTCGCTGATAGGAGGGTGCGTTTAATAATTAGGCCCAACGCTTTCTGCACCCGCGAGTACCTTCAAAAGGGAACAACAGTTTCCATTTATTACACTATGGGACATGTGACAAAATGACCACTGGAACACGCATGAAACGGAGCTCATATTCCTAAAAATGTCTACAATCACTTCTTTTCTGACACTATTAGCAAATACCATCTCAAGTTAGGTGGTTGACAGACAGTCAATGGAGATCTGGGGAGACTGAGTGATGCCAATTCACCACTTAACTGATAATGAGGGCCGAGGGAAGAGAAACATGCAACATGCACAACTGACAACTTGACAAGTGACAAAACACTACCACTATTGCGCAGTGCACAACCAAATTACAGCAGCCAGCCCAAAAAATGCTTTTGGTGGCTAATTGCAAAACAAGTCACTAATAAATGTCTTAGTTGCAGCTGAACACTGCACAATAATCACACTGTTCACACATTGAGTGAGATGCCACAGGTGGTTTGAATCACACTTTGGTTCAACTGCAAATCTGAAGTGTTGTCATGAGGTTCATGCCTCCATGATCACAGCACTTTGGTTGTGGTTGGCATAACACTTGAAGTCTGCAGAGTTCCACATGAACTGCAGACACCTCATCTGGTGGTCTTCATGTTGCTCAACTTCTTCAGGAGGCAAATGTCGACCACCCAGCGGAAGCATGGTCCTGCAGAAAAGAAAGGTAATGCATAAGGTACAAACATTATCTGCTGAAACAGCTCCTTCTGTTGGTTGTTATTAAACTTTTAACATATGTAGGTAACATAACAACATGTATTCTATGTATATTACATTTGTTGAAGTAAAATACTGCCGGCTATTTCAAAACCAGAAAATGAAATTATATTGTGGCATAATTCACCTGCTCAGCTATCAGTATCAAATAATAATTAATTTAATATTTGGCATATTCTATATAACACATTCATAGAATATTCTACTTCACGTCACAAGGACTCACAATCTTTCTGTTGGGTGTTTGATTGACGCATTAACTAAGTTTGTCTTAGGTTTTATTATTGCAAAAAATTCATATTGCATTATTGTATCAAAATACTGCCAGCAATAACAAAACAAGAACATGAAATGCCAATGAGCAAGCCGCCTTTCCTTAAAATGGATTACTTTGAAAGGAATTTTAGTTTCTTTTAAGGAAAAGGAGAAATGATTATCAGGTAATTATCAGAAAACCACTCAACCAGCAAGTGGCTGGGTGGTTTCACAGCAAACATCAAGCCAAAACATATACTTACATCTATCTAACAATTGAGCCATTTGACTACTACAAGGATATGTGAGCAAAATAAGAATCCAATTATCCAACGTTGACTTCCTTGCAAAGTTTATGCCTTATTTTATGAAAATGTGTCACTAGAATATGATACTTACCATCGAATATTATTTAATTTACGATTTATTTCCATCGGAATGCACATGGAGTCCCGCGCCATTTTCGTCGACGATGAATATGATCGTGATTCATGAAGAGATAAGGGGTTTCAATGGTCTTTCAAAGCAATAATTTGATGCAAAAATTTGTAGGAAATAATATGAAGCTGGTTCAAATGGCCATCAACCATTTAAAACACCGAAAATACTCACAACTCCGCCCCGACGACCACGCAGCACCGCGCACGCCACACTCAAGGTATATAAAAAGCCACACTACTGGCACAAATGCCAAAACCGCTGTCACAGCGGAAATGTTTTTTTTTTCTCGATTGCAATTGTGGAATTATTTATTAAACAGAAGATGATCTTTCCGAAAAATCGACTGATTTCATACACAGATGCATGGAAAATAAAAAAATCCCGGTAAGTTTATTTGTATTGTTTTGTCGATTTTGACATGCTCCTAGTTTGCAGCCATATTTCGATATGTTCTACAGGGAGTTCAGAATTATTTCAGGACCAATCTTTTCCTCATTCATTTCCCCGTCGATCATGAAATTTTTAGAGCGGAACAATTGGTTTCCAGGCGGTCCGAGCGGTTTTCGTGAGAAGGGTGCAAAAATCGGCGTCATTTTTAGAGCCTCGACACCAGCTCAACACAGGACCCTATGGGAGACGGTGAAGTAGCGGGAGCAATAAATAGAGTGCTCTAATTTTAGCTTATTTCCCTGGTGTGTCACCGACTGATGTATCGATCCAACAAAATGCTTCACGATACAGATAGCAGTATCCAAGGCAATATTTCAAGCAAATGAGAGACACCTGGTACTGATATTGAGGAAAAACGATTTAATGGATTTAACCCTCGCCCCGTTGGGGGGGGGGCCATTTTGGCCCCCCCCTGTGGTTTTTCCTGAATAGCAAGAAAACGGCGGCGCGCAGCGCCGCCAAATTTTCAGTACCTTTCCGGGCATCAATTTGACACCTTCACACCAAATTTCAAGTCTTAGGTCACCTTAGGTCAGGAGTTATTGAGGTCAAACTAAGGTCATGTTCGAGCAAAAATGAGCAAAAAACATGCAATCTTGAAACGCTCACCAAATCTACAGTTATCAAGCAATTTCAAAGTTCTTTATATTGTCTAATAGACAAAAAGCGGCGCTACAAAACTGCTATCTCGGATTTTCAAAATTTTGGGTTTTTGACCCAAAAATTTTCAAAAAATTGATTTTTTTAGAAAAACTAAAAAAAAATCCAAAATTTTTCCGAATTTCGAAAAAACCGGGATATATGTGATAGTCCCTGCGCTCTTCTATATACATACCAAATTTCAGATCGATATCTCGTTTTTTGGCCAAGTTATAGCGAAAAAACTGTTCAAAAATGATGACGTCAAATTTTTGAACTCAATTTTTTTGCGATTCTAGACCTTGTACGACAAAACAAAGACCACCATTGAACTCCCCGTGACGAGCTGCATCGATTCGATACCCATTTTATGCAAAAATATCAACTTTGAAATTTGACCTAATTTGACCTGACCTTGACCTGACCTTGACCTGACCTTGACCAAAACGTGACCTAAGCTGGCCCCAAAGGCTGCCTGACCCACATAATCGCATTTGTCATGTAAAATGGACCATAAAACATGCATCACACGACACTTTCATATTGTGACCCCCCAGTGACCTGACCTCTGTGACCTGACCTGGTATCAGTGACCTCAACTAGCAAAATATGTGTTTGAAGAACATTTCCCCATCGATGATTTTCAATGAAATGCATTTTACTCGATTTTACAACGCATTTCTTGAAATGCCTGTAAGCGGTGAAAATTGGACCTTTGACCTGACCTGTGACGTCATCGGTTTGACCTAGGTCAATAAAATTGGGTCACAAGGTAGTTCCCTGATAGGGCTATCCAACACCGTTTGCTGCTTGTCGCTACGTTGCGTGGTTCTCGAGATCTTAGGGGGGGGCCAAAATGGCCCCCCCCCCCCCCAACGGGGCGCGTTGCTCGGCAGAGCCCAACGGGGCGCGGGTTAATACTCGTCTAACAGCTTTCCACAACACTGTGGAGAACACGGTATATAGAGAACTGTGGAGAATTTCGCCGCACTGCGCCATAACCAAGATCCTGCATCGAGCGCAGGTTGAGGGTGCTAATTTATTAACACGGTTAAGATTTTGCAATGCAGCTGCTGGAGATGCTTGCCTTTTATTTTCCATTTTTATTTCCAGATCAGCGACCTTGAAGAATGTCATAAAAGTAGAGTCCTTATGACATTTATCAGTAGTACTAACTGCAGGGTATTCTCATAAGACATCTTTTATCTGCATATCAGTAATCAGTACCTACTCTTGCTTTTAGTTTCTGCGACAAACGCCACCTTCTCTCCCTGTCCTAAGAATGGGCACTGAATGTTTCCGTTCCGACGTATGTAACAACTAGCAGCAAAGACTGCTTGGATGATGCTTCGGAGTCCCCGGTCTACGCCGTATCGGCCGGATGAAGATCGTCCATGCGAGGACAAATTCGGGTGATGAATCTTACCGGATGCCACATATTTTTTTATTTAAATTCCTGCCGCACTTCCTTGACAGTTGACACGCTGATCCTCCCCCTCACGTGCACTCGGTGGGAACTAGGAAAAGCCAATGTCATGACGCGGGTCTGACCTCGTCCCACAGGCCAGTGAAGTTTACCTGTACCTACCAGTCCCGTGAGGCAGGATCATATCCGGAGGCCGGCGGCAGAGCTGAAGTCTGAGCACTTGTCAGTTGACCAACGCTCAGACACCAGACACTCGTGTGCTAGATGGAGGCATCCACCGGTCTGAACACAAGGCGCCAATACCGATTGGGGAGGCCAAAACGTTCGCTAAACACAGCAACTACCCTCTCGTCTTCGCTGATAAGACTGGACGCAGAAGAGCTGCGCCTAGTCTAACGATATCATTCGATGACAAGTGCGACGTTAGACGACTGCCTTTCCCGTGTCCACGGGTTCTGAAAGCACGTGAGCCAGACAATAATCCGTAGCACTTCAGACGTGTTCAATATTCCAATCTCCGAAAGGCACAATTAGCTGCAGACCCCAGAACGAACGACACTGCAGTATGTATTATACACGATGAATTTACCTGTCACACGATCAGAGGCGACGTTCGCAGAGGTCACACACCATATCACAGGTCACTCCCGCCCCCTCCTCCTCCCGGCATGACGCCCGGGCTCACAGGTCACATTTACAACGGCCATTAGAACCGGCCACAATTTCAGCATTTCGTCCGGCGAAACCGGCCCGGACCCATCTCACCCGGATGCTACATGTTCTACGGTAGAACCTGTCCCACTTTGGTAGGCCAGTAGAAGGAACAACTGAGCAAACGGTATGGTTTGGCGGCGGCGAAATGGCGCGGCGGCGATGGCGACCTTGTTGGATGGCCGGGCCGAGCAGTGAGGCGGGACAGGCTGGGGAGCCTGTTACTGAGGTTCAACTGACCGGCCACGGGGGCTCAGACCGTCTGCACCGAGAGACGCCGGGTCTCGCTGAGTCTGTCCGAGGCCGGCACACATTTGCACTGTCGAGGTGATATGTTGGGTTAAAATGTCACTAGGAGTACCTCCAGCGAGACTTCCACTGGCATTGAGGTGGCCAGCTCAGATCCTTATAACACTGGCTCCGTGCTTCACTTAGTTTACGCTCACACCGGCTGCTGAGATACCGTCAGGTGAGGTGTCAGTGTGCGGGGCAGCATCACCAGCAGCACCAGTAGCAGCACCAGTCCCGAGTCGGCACCGCCGGTAGCACCAGCACCAGTCCTGAGTCGGCACCACCGGCAGCACCAGCACCAGTCCCGAGCCAGCACCGCCGGGCCCCAGCAGTACCGACGGCCGCACCACTCAGCCAGGCACGGCCGGCCGTCTCTCTCCGACAGCAGCGGTGCGGCCGTCCCGGGGTTGTACCCCCTACGGCGGCCGAGCACACGTCTCCAGCTCTGCCGCCGGCGTCCACTGCACCGGACTGAGTCCAGCCGGCGCCCGGTCACACGGCCGGTACCGGCGCGGTGGGAGATCCTGAGCTACGGCACCCGGCCGCGGCCGGCGCTACACCTTGTACTTGGCGCGCAGCTCCTTGATGGTCCACTCGGTGATCCCGGCGTCGGCTAGGTCCTGTTGTCGGCCCTGGCGGCCAGAGAGAGACCCACACCGGCCGTCACACACCGGACAGAGACAGACCCACACCGGCCGTCACACACCGGACAGAGACAGACCCACACCGGCCGTCACACACCGGACAGAGACAGACCCACACCGGCCGTCACACACCGGACAGCAGACCCACACCGGCCGTCACACACCGGACAGAGACAGACCCACACCGGCCGTCACACACCGGACAGAGACAGACCCACACCGGCCGTTACACACCGGACAGAGACAGACCCACACCGGCCGTCACACACCGGCCAGCAGACCCACACCGGCCGTCACACACCGGACAGAGACAGACCCACACCGGCCGTCACACACCGGACAGAGACAGACCCACACCGGCCGTCACACAACGGACAGAGACAGACCCACACCGGCCGTCACACACCGGACAGAGACAGACCCACACCGGCCGTCACACACCGGACAGAGACAGACCCACACCGGCCGTCACACACCGGACAGAGACAGACCCACACCGGCCGTCACACACCGGACAGAGACAGACCCACACCGGCCGTCACACACCGGACAGACAGACCCACACCGGCCGTCACACACCGGACAGAGACAGACCCACACCGGCCGTCACACACCGGACAGAGACAGACCCACACCGGCCGTCACACACCGGACAGAGACAGACCCACACCGGCCGTCACACACCGGACAGCAGACCCACACCGGCCGTCACACACCGGACAGAGACAGACCCACACCGGCCGTCACACACCGGACAGAGACAGACCCACACCGGCCGTCACACACCGGACAGAGACAAACCCACACCGGCCGTCACACACCGGACAGAGACAAACCCACACCGGCCGTCACACACCGGACAGAGACAAACCCACACCGGCCGTCACACACCGGACAGAGACAAACCCACACCGGCCGTCACACACCGGACAGAGACAGACCCACACCGGCCGTCACACACCGGACAGAGACAGACCCACACCGGCCGTCACACACCGGACAGAGACAGACCCACACCGGCCGTCACACACCGGACAGAGACAGACCCACACCGGCCGTCACACACCGGACAGAGACAGACCCACACCGGCCGTCACACACCGGACAGAGACAGACCCACACCGGCCGTCACACACCGGACAGAGACAGACCCACACCGGCCGTCACACACCGGACAGCAGACCCACACCGGCCGTCACACACCGGACAGAGACAGACCCACACCGGCCGTCACACACCGGACAGAGACAGACCCACACCGGCCGTCACACACCGGACAGAGACAAACCCACACCGGCCGTCACACACCGGACAGAGACAAACCCACACCGGCCGTCACACACCGGACAGAGACAAACCCACACCGGCCGTCACACACCGGACAGAGACAAACCCACACCGGCCGTCACACACCGGACAGAGACAAACCCACACCGGCCGTCACACACCGGACAGAGACAAACCCACACCGGCCGTCACACACCGGCCAGCAGACCCACACCGGCCGTCACACACCGGACAGAGACAGACCCACACCGGCCGTCACACACCGGACAGAGACAGACCCACACCGGCCGTCACACACCGGCCAGCAGACCCACACCGGCCGTCACACACCGGACAGAGACAGACCCACACCGGCCGTCACACACCGGACAGAGACAAACCCACACCGGCCGTCACACACCGGCCAGCAGTCCACGGAGGGCCGCGGGGGCCCGCGCCGTCCATATACATACCTCACCGGACCGCTGCACACGCACGGGAGCCCAGTCAATCGCAACATAATTACCTTCAGATATTGCATATCAAAGTTGATATTCGTTCCAAGAAATATAAAAAATCAACTGCCCCGAGAAGAGAACAAATTGTAAACATTAGGGATGAAAGAGGTACGCGGTAGCACGCATCAAAGGCTGGCTAAACAACCTATTGCATGTAATGTCTTCGGTATCACATTTCCGAGAACCGGGTAGTCAGCACTGGTTCAAAGTGCAGCGGGGCCATTGACGCTTTTGAGCTCTAGGAACCAGAATGCGAGAGTGCGAGCTAGTTACAAGAGCAGCTTGCGTAGAGCGTCGGTCGATAAATCTGTTGTGCTCGGTCGTTCCGCTTTGTCGGAGAATCCGACGACCCCGCCGTCCAGCCTCAGCAGTAAAAAGTGTGTCGCTCTTTGTGCCTGTATTTGTGCCCCGTTAATGCCAGTCAGGCCGACAGTCCCTCCGCTTAACCCGGGGCCCGGAATAAACCCGAGTCCCCCCAAACCCACTGGTTCCCACCAAACAGAGCCGCCGTGGATTTCCCACGTCGGACGTCCCGGAATTACCCGAGGCCGGCCGACGCAAGAATGGTGAACGGCGGAATCAGTCGCCGGTGGCTCTCGGACCACACCCGAGGCACCTCCGACAACCCAACCCGCGGCACAAATCTCGCTCCCCACAGCCCGGGCGATGTACGTCTGAGCCGCTACCTCAGGTCGCACAGCACACGGGCAGCAGAGCGGCAAGATGGCTGGGCCCGGCAGCACCTCTGGATCAACCCAGGCAGCAGCACCGGTCAGCGGACGGGACAGGAGCCCTCTCCAAACAGTCCCCCGCACAGGAGTCCCCGCACTTACCCGGCCACCGCCACGCACAAAACTGACCGCCACCGCCGGCACGCACCGGTCGTGACTTCGGGTCAGATGCCACGACCAATCACAGCGCGGCACGGACAGAAACTCGGCGCACGGTACAAAAGCAAGGGACCGGGCCGGATTCGAACCGGCAACCACCGACTGATCACGCCGGCCAAACGTCCAGACACCCTACCCACTCGGCTATCGGGGATATATGGGACGTTGCCGCACTCCAATCACCAAACTTCAGTATGACACCCATTCAGTGTCCATTACAAATCGTTCCTTCAAATTCTCGATCCACTCGACGTACGAGGATGACCGATGACATGACAATATAATCAATAACACCTAAGTGGAAAAGAAAAAAAAAAAGAGAATAGAACATACAAATAGGCCGCAGACCGATCCAGGCAGGCCTTTAGATATTGGTGTTTCTTTGAAACCTAGACAATCTTAAGGCTAGGATTCATCCCAACCTCAAAGTAGTGAGGTGGGAGAGGATGATTTTGAAAAGTTAAACTGACTTCTCTCCTCAAAAACACATTTCAGATGAGTAATTTCGTCTGCAGTGTGGAAAATACACGGAATCTCTCTACTAACAACTATATAGCATTGACTTCATATCATAAGACAAAAAGACGAACAATGTACGTGTTTCACGTCAACAGCCACCTGCCACCCCCCCCCCCCCACACACACACTGTGTCACTGTGAAGATAGGGTATCGGTGGATAACCGGAACGTAATGTTGTTTTATACTTCGCATTTGCTTGCACACTGCACACTTACTTCAAGGCTACCGAGGAGTTTTTCCATTAACTGCTCGCAAGTTCGTCTCTCCTGCACAGACAGGAACTGTAGACTAATGTGAAATCTGCCAACAAAAGGGTGCACACATACTTCAGAATCTGCGCTTTCAGATGCTCCATTTCAAGAAACCATTTGACAGTTCACACCTCAACGAAAACAATGCAATAGCGCCAGCACAGACCGCACGATGCGGCACGCAACACCGACGTCAGACGTGTACCAGCACGCGGGTGTGAGCTGTGACTCCACCTTCGGTCGCGTCTCGTCCGGTCCGATGTGACGCACCAGACGCTACTACATCTAAGTACAGTACGAACTACTAAGTCACGCCGTCACCACCTCATTAACCAATAACCACGCTCTCATACAATCCAACGTTCGGTGTCCTCAGTCACGAAGCTAGCTCCTAGCCCCACCAGCAGATTGGAGCGCTTCGCAGACCCGGCCACATGAAGAACGTTGCTGCATAAAGCCCGGCTAGGCAATATTAACTTCAAATATCGATGGATACAACAATACCATTTATCCAGGCTGATTTGGACGGCTCCTAGTAATTCTCACAGCTGCTGTGCCTAAGATCCCTCGCACTACACACAGCTAGCTGAGCCATCTCAGGTACCCTCACAAGGTGCCGAATCAGGCAGCCGCTGCGCCCCCCTTCCCCGCTCCGACCAAGGCTCCCGCGCCTCCGCTCCGAGCCGCTGACCCGTTGCCCCCTCCCCCGCTCGCCACTGACCTGTTGCTCCCTTCCCGCGCTCACCACTGACCTGTTGGCCCCTTCCCCCTCTCTGCGCGCCGCTGATCTGTTGCCCCTCCCCCGCTCGCCGCTGATCTGTTGACCCCTCCCCCCGCTGATCTGTTGCCCCCTCCCCGCGCTCGCCACTGACCTGTTGGCCTCGGACATGGCCTGCAGCAGCTCGACGACGAGCCGCACCTCGGCTGTGTTGGGGCTGAAGGCTAGCAGCGTGTACAGCACCTCGCCCAGCAGGCCGGCCGGGATCTCAGCGCGCAGCACGTGGCCCAGCGCGGCGGCGCCCATCCGTCGGAGCAGCGTCAGCCGGCCGCTCACCTCCAGCCGGCGCCACTCGCGGCCAAACTCCTGCACGGTGGCCGGCAGGCGCGCCGACGGCGTCACCGACGGCGGGCACTGGCAGAGGCAGAGGCCGGTCAGACATACAGCACTGTACAGCAGGGGGTCAGCGGTGGCCGGCAGGCGCGCCGACGGCGTCACCGACGGCGGGCACTGGCAGGGCAGAGACAGAGGCCGGTCAGACATACAGCACTGTACAGCCGAGGGTCGGCGGGGGCCGCCAGGCGCGCCGACGGCGTCACCGACTGCGGGCACTGGCAGAGACAGAGGTCGGTCAGACATACAGCACCGTACAGCCGGGGGTCAGCGGGGCCGGCAGGCGCGCCGACGGCGTCACCGACTGCGGGCACTGGCAGAGGCAGAGGGGTCAGACATATTGTACAGCCGGGGGGTCAAAGAAACACCGCCTGCGGGAACTGTCATAGAGGGGGGGATTAACACACACCGCCTGCGGGCACTGTCAGCGGAGGTCAGATGGAACATTAATACATACGGCCTGTGGGCAGACTGCCATAACCACGGTGTCAGATATATACCAGTCACAGCGAGGGTTCGGAGGGGATCCTGACACGGGGCCGACGATGGGCACACTGCCTATGGGCACCAAAGGGAGGGGACTTCACACAGGTCATCATAGCGCAAACCCAGCTGCGGGCAATGCTATCGGGAGGCAGTTAGATATGACACACAGTTATCATGGGGCGGGGACTCCAGACGCGTCACAGCAACCCCTTGCGGGCACTGTTACCAGGAGGGAGTTCGATAAGACACACTGTCACAAGGACGGAGTTAAATGAGGCAGCCGTCAGCTGGAGCTGAGATGAGTCCTCAAGGTGTCAGAGGCCTGCCGTCACCGGTGTCAGATGGCGATCTTCCGCATAGAATCATTGAGGGGCTCAACACCTCTCACAGGAAATCAGGGGAAGGGATATGCCTGTCTGGAGCCGGGCCGAGTATGAAAGTCATATGAAATGCCGTTGTGAAATGCCAAGAGGGTCGCTGTCTCTGGAAAATCAAACAAGGCAGCAGACGATACATTTACACGCCACTCGGTAGATACAGAGCGCCCCAAGCTGCAGCCAGACGTTGTCCGTACTCAGATGGTCTCTCCGGCACCGGCTCAATGCTGTAGGTGGCAGCACCCTGACGTGGACACGACAGTCTACTGCGTCAGACTCGGGAAAACTGCTACAAGGGAGACGACGGTTGAATGCAGCTGACAGGAAAAATCCTGTCAGGTGACACGAAAAAATAGCCCAGTTGGCAGAGCGTTGAGCTCCCTGTAGCGAGAGCCCGGGTTCGAGACGCTCCGATGCTGGATATTTGAGACTCCTGACGGAGATCATCTGCGGTTGGTAAGAGAAGCTGTCGCCAGTCGAAGTCAGTTGAGTGGGACAGGCCGTGTCGGGCTTTGAAGGGCACGCTAAACTTTGGCATCTAAATTTCCCAGTTCCCCGGAATTGCGCGATCGGACGGTGGGATTGGAGACTGCGTAGCCAGCTCTGCTTAGCGTGGGCTCCGGCTCTCTCGAACAGTACATTCATACATTCCAGCTAAATTTATTATTATCTAAATTATTTGTGATTTTCTGGCACTGCAGACCCGTCACACATTCTAATGCGTCATCTACATAGGCTCCTTATGACAGCAATATCGACGAGGCAGACGAGAGAGATAGCACAGGGATACAGCACGGAGATAAGACAAAGACACTGCATAGGGTATAACACAGAGGTATAGGCAACACAGGGAGGTAGCACAGGGAGATAACATAAGACGATAGCATGCTTAAGTGATACACATTACACAAAGTTCAAAATGGAATGAGGCGTAGTTCACACAACTGAGCAGTCGTATATATCAAGGCGCTACAACGATCCATCTCACCCATGGATAGGTACCTACAAATAAACCTTCATCCCACGCGAATCCCACGCGTAAAGTCGTACCTAGTTTAACCACTCACCTGGCACAGCCTCAGTCCCACCTGGTTCACGGGTGTGCCGTCTCATTGTTGCCCTTCACCTGGTTCATGTGAGCAGCTCAACACCACCCTCCCCTGGTTCATCTAGACAGCACAGCCCTCAGCCCCACCCCCATCTGGTCCAAGGGTGCACCGTCTCAATTTGACCCCTCACCGTGTGAGCGGCCCTAGCCCCCAGCCCCACCCTCACCTGGTTCATGCGGCCGGCGGCGGGCGCGGCGGGCGTCTCGCGGCGCGTGGCCAGGCTGTTCCACACGGCCCGGCCGGCCGGCGCCGCCCCCGACAGCGTGTCCTTCCTGTCCAGCGGCCGCAGGGTGGCCGCCTTCACCAGGTCCCTGCCCGGTCAGATCCGGTCAGGTCAGATCACAACTCTAGGTGACTGACCACGATAAGTTACGGGCTCAATATCGCCGGTCCACAGTCCCAAATCACATGCTGACATCTCATCCCTGTACCCATATTCCATATTGTGTGATAGGTTCATCAACTATCTGTCACACCCTGTGAAACTACCTACGTCATATTATATGATTGACATCATAACAGTCAATTTAAAAGCAAAAAAGTACAAGCTTAAAGGTCACACAGGTCATAACTTTCAACACAATTATTCACTGGAGCAGATACAGGACATAGTATCAATTCTAGATTCTGGCGCAAGGCAAGGCATATCTAAAATTCCCTCAGTCACTGTCAGGTCACTGCAGGTCATATCGTAACCAGTTATTCACTTCAGGATTCACCATCTACTGCTAGAAGACTACAACACGTTTCTAATGAGAAATTGTTTAATAAATCCTAAATGGCAAATCGTATTGAACTCTAGCTACAGCCTAACTGAAGCACACAATATTGCCCTGACCCTGCCCTGTATCTCGTTCGCCCATCTCACGCTCCTCAGAACAGCTACATGAGCACCTCAGCGCACCCTGAACTCACCCGGTCTCCTGTTCCCCTCACCTGAACTCGTCGTACGACCCGACCTTCTGCTGGACGGCGCGCAGCTTGGCATCGTTCTGCAGCGCGCGCCGCTGGTCCTGCTCGACGGCCGAGCGCAGCTCCCGCTCCAGCTCGACGAAGTTGATGTCGTCCCGCTCTGCCGGCCGGGCCATCCCACCGTGCGGCCGGCGCCACACCCCGTCAACGGCAGGCCGCTGAAATCACACCACAGGCACAGGTGGTCTGTGACAGTCCTATGGCAAATATTGTTAGTTTTGAAAATTTAGCTACACAAGGGGCACCAAACTTTTACAACTCATATAAACCTACACAGAGGAAAGCACAGTCCACAGCAGAAGTAATGTGTGGTTTCAGTCATGGGTATGTTCTGCTTCTGAAGCCTAGGAACGATTAGCCAGACTGCAACGAGACTTTAAATGTAGCTTACATGTATCTTCACCCTTGCAGCTACAACTTTATCTATTGACGTCTTCTTTTCAATCAGTCCGCATTTAAAAATCGTCGGTCAAAACCATCCGTTGAGATTGGTAAAACCACACATTACTTTAGCGGTGGGCTGTACCTGTGAGCAATGATGCTCTTGTTGAAATTCGGTCTTTTTGTTGGTACACATATATATATAGTTCTGTGAAATCTTAAAGCTACTAATTAGGGTTAGGCACTGATAATCCTTTTGTTCAATTTTCATGAAAATGAGACGAGAGGGTCCGTCCATCCGTCCATCGTTTGATGTTTCTTGCTGGTAGGGGCCGACGTACGGTAGCAGGTTCCTAAAGACGTTTGCTAATGCAGCCAATGGGCAGCCCACCCCTCATACGCACGGGGAGGGCTAGTGCGGCACCCACACTGCCGATCTACTGTTATACGTACCTACCTAGTTACTACGTAGCAGACATTAAAGCAGCCTGCCATAATTTCAGCGTATCACACAGCGTGCAGGGAGAAACGCCCCCCCCCCCCAGGAGCCCAAGGCTAGCGCACCTCTCGTGCACGCCAGAAGCGTAGGGCCCCAGTGGTGTTACGTGCTCGATGCCACATGAAACAAACATCTCGTCGATGTGATACCGCTCCCTCCACGCATCCCTCATCTTTTCGCACACATCGACACCTTTTCCAAACCCCACATCTGTTTTCCCGTGAATTTCCGACAAGTTGGATAAGAGCTTTAAAAAAGGTCAGTAGTGACTCGATTTTTCACAAGTTTGTCATCCTTGGCGGATCAAGCAATGCCAGAACAAGCCTACAAACACAAACTTGAGCATGGCCAGGCCAGATGATTGGACACTTTTTAAAAGGGATCTTTCATTCTTCCCGGAAAGCTTAGAGAAAAGGTGTGGGGCCTGATAAAGGTGTCAATATGGCAGAGCCGTCCAGTATGCATGCAGAGCGGAGCCCGGAGGCAAGTCGTGAGGACATCAGCATAGCGATTGAGACCAGATGTTCGGGAAGGCTTTAGCTGTTTCCCCCAGGACAGCGAGCGTACGCCCAGAGGTATCCTGCACCGCACACACAGCAGAGCTTCCTTCTGTTAATGGGGATCTGCAGTATTGCTTCCAGTGGAGTCGTATGAGTCTGACTGATGGCACTTCATGGTATGCAAATGTCTGTCCTGTGGATCACCACAAGTACTAAACTTGCAAAAAAAGACCAGCATCTACCTTTACACCAGTTTAAAGGTAGTGTGCCACCTTTGAAAGATTTCCCATTTTATTTTTCCTAGGATAAGAAGCTTCTGTTTTTACCTAATATCGCAAAAAAAAAAATCAAAAATGGGCCTGGAATAGTGCCTTTTTCGCCTAAAAGTTTATCGGTTTTTCGATATGTATAACAACTGTAGTGGGCTGACCTGCAAACAGGCGTCGGCAACAATCGCGAATGCGGCGCACATGTGACAATAAGCAAAGGTCATTATAGAGTTACGACGTACGGGAATGAGTTATCAGCTGTCTAATCGTAGACAACACAATGTCGAGCCTTAAACTGTAAGCCTGTATTGGTATTGTTTCTTTTATTTGGCTGTCGAACATTATTTATGGTTTGAAATATGATTTTATGTAAAATAATTGATATGAAAAAGCCGTCTCTTAAGTTATGACCCCATTTCACCACACGCAAGTGGCAGAAATGACAATGATCAGCTGACGCATTTTTCTTGGCCGAAGTCAGAGCGCGCGGCCCGACGCACCACCACCGCACCACAAAGTATGAGCAGAAGCCGCGCCCAAAGCCAGGGCCCCGGTAACGTGAGGTAGCCGAGTCGGGGCAGCGTGCGCTGACCCAAGCCGGGGCCGCAGCTTTGGGCGCGGTCTACCGCATCCCCGCGGGCAGCCCCGGGCTATCACATGACACCGGGAGGACGCGCGGCCCCGGCTTGGGTCAGCGCACGCTGCCCCGACTCGGCTACCTCACGTTACCGGGGCCCTGGCTTTGGGCGCGGTCTACCGCACCACCTAACAGGCGTGTTCGAAACCGCAGGAGATGATGATGAACGGGTTTATCGAAACTTGATTGGATGAGCATATCGGTAATAGCGATTTCAGTGTGTGCATTTATTGTTCATAGTGGTGTGAAATGTGGTTGGGGTACGACCGACAACCCGTCGGGGCGAATTTCGCACTGGGGTACTCAAAATTTGAAGAATTTAAGACGTTTCCATGAGTTTTGAAGGTATGGATAAGTTCTAAAAATCCGGTTCTCCTTATCTGGGCAATTAACTCCATACGGTCCAGGAAAGCTGGCACACTACCTTTAAGCTGCCCACTGCCCAGAAGCTGATTGCATGCCATACCGCAAAGCCAGACTGGAAAACACGTAAGCGATTTTGCGCTTAAATTTCTGTGATTTGCACCAAAAGTTTGGTGCTCAATGCCCATTTGTGCGAAAATTAAGCCCTTTTATATAAAGCACATGTGACATGTCATGTGCACTGTGCACATCTACCGGTCAAGGCTATTTGAACCAGGCAGAGTGTTTCGGGGCCTTGTACGCTCTCCCATGTTTGAGCGTCTGAATGACTTTTTGATTTCCATGGAAACCCAATACCTCAATAGTCTTAGAGCACTCTAGCTTCATGCCGTGAAACAAAGCTGGAGCCGTGAGTTCCGGGGCCAAAAATTTGTGCCAATGTTAATATCGGCGGAGCAGTGTGTTCGAGGCTGGCGGGAGTCAGCGAGGGCCGGGCAGCGGGACAGCATGTGCTCCGGCACATCACTCTCTTCTCGGCACACGGCACTCGGCAGTACGGGGCACCGCTTGTCTGGGCACTGCTGGCACGCCGCGGAGTGGAGACAGCCGATTCGGTGCCGTATTCGTATTGGAGCGAGCGGCCCCAGTGGCCCGCCCTCATCTGGTGCACCGAAACGGCATCCTCGGTCCTCTCCGGGGATAGGGAGCGGCGGCGTGCTCCCGACGAGTGGCTTGAAATGAACAGTGATTCTGAGCAGTTGTCGCGCTCTGCGCCGGACAGTGCGATGCGAGGCCGCACAGTGAACCGCCCTGGTCAGCCAGTGGGCGTTTGAGGGCAGGGCGGCCGCCTGTTTTGCCAGGTCGTCCGCGCTCTCATTCCTCTCGATACCGCAGTGGGCAGGAACCCACTGCGGTATTGCTTAACGACGCTTGGCGATGTTCAACAAGGTCTTCTTTACCTATCTCCATGCCGAGGGTCCAGCGTAGGTACCGCATAAATTCGGTGATCGTATTTCGCCAAAAAATTATGCGACTGCCCTGCGCCGAAGAATTCGTCCGCCGCCACGCGCTGAATTCGGCGCATGCAAAGTTACGCCGGACGTGGGCTGAAATTTTCGGCGCAATCCCACCACTACGCCAGACATATTTGGCATAACGTGGATTTTTTCCAGTCTGGCCGCAAAGTACTGCTCACAGCATGACAAGGTGCACCGGCCCAAGTTCTTCAAAATCTGCACCACCTCTTCAGAGCTGGAAAATCCACACCTAAGTGGGCAGAGTCCAAAAATTCACACTGAACCTGAAAATGACTGTTCTATATCTACACTGACTTCAGGCCAGTCTTACCCAGCTTGCCAGTGGTATCAACTAGCCTCTATCTGGATCAGAGCAGGGGACAGCCCACATGATTGATGGGACCACAGCTAGCATAAGTCTGTTCTGACTTCTGACCACGCCATGCATTATTGTTGACGCAGTTCAGATATTGTGGAGCCTGTAAATGGAACTCACCTTCACCTAGGTACTCAAATTAAACTCAAGGATATTCCATACATTACAATAAATTTATTCTTCCGATTTACAACCGAACCAGCTTGAGCTTGAACCAGCTATCAATGCGATATTTACCTGTTTGGAGTTTCAGTTCAAGTTTGGTGTTGGAATGAAGGATAATGGCTGAATGCTATTTATGGCATTGAATAACCTTCTCCATTACTTAAAGAAACGAGCATTGGTGATTGAAAATCGGAAAATCTAGTAAGAAACGTTCATGTGGAAAGTCTAATAACCCAAAAAATAAATAGGTACCAACTGTAAGGTGAGAAGAAAACCGTTCCCGTGTGTGTGTTTTGCGAGATGTGTGATCCAAGTGCGCCACTTTCCAATGCGTTGTTTTTGTATGGTTTTTGTAGAAAATGTAGACTGACGAAAACATGAGAACAAAGTGGCAGTTTCATTTAGCATTATCCAGAAAATATATTGCGTTAAAATTTCAAATGATTTCAAATACGTTTTCAACAAAAATAATATTTTTTTTATTTACAGCATCAATAACTTTTATATATGAGACATATACCGCGCAATTGAGTCGATAACAGCGCAATGGTTTGACATGTTTATTTATTTATTTTGGGCCGGCGCGGAGTGCTGGGGCGGTTTAAAAACACGTTGAATTGCAACTTGAGGTAGGCATGTGAATCAATATTCTCTTATATTTTCACGAACCTTTATTTGAAATGTAGGAACTCGCATACCGCCCAGCCCGTGGTGTGAGTAACTTGAACTTGAACTAGCAAAGGAACATTGGAAGAGCGTTGAAGACTGCAGGAAGGAACGCTGCTGGATTTCAATTTGCTGCATCATAAGGTAAGTTTTCATTCATTTATTAAATGTACGGCTGTGTGCCTTTTGAAGACTTGATGAATGCTTACCCACCCTCATATTTTCTCCTAAAAGGTAAGAATGCTGGTGGGCTGCCATTTCGTTTTATGACTTGCATCAACTGACAACTCACCTGTTCAACTCACTTTGACTTCATCAATAGAACTGAAGCTAGTAGGTAATATAAAATCTTTTACTAAATTGGTTACGCACCCATATGTCTGCTCTTCAAAGGTCATGGTCACAATATGTCATGCCAACTCAGTTGAAATGATCACAGGAAAACATGGTCAACCAAACCTGAGTGAATTAAGCCTTATCTAGCGAGCAATTGCCTTACGAGTAATTGCTGGCAAAGTTTATATTGGACAATCCACAACACTGGAAGCCTGCTACAATCCAGTAGTATGTCTTTTTGGGGCAACAAGAGAGTGAGAAGGTAATTTCTTCTCTTGTGCAAGCATGAAGACGAAGTGAGATGTGACTACCTAAACTAATTGGTGCTGTGCTGCTTAGGTAGGCCTTCCTACCAGATGCTAATGGTATTCCCACAGTTGACCCAGCAGCTCTCAACAGGTAGAAGCAACCTCCTGCATGTGAATCATGTACAAGTGCAAATTGGGTCCTAACTCCTAACTAACTAGGCACCCTGCTGACTAGTCCTTAGTCTTAATGGCTTATTTTTTATCAGCTTTTGATCATACCTTGAGCTGTGCAAGCCTTTTTGAACAGAAATACTTATTCAACTTGCTATTTCTTTCTTAAATTAAGCTCGAATGTTTGAGTGGACAGATTGACTGAGCCGGAGCCTATGTGACGCTAAGCAGAGGTTGTTGCGCAGACCCCATTCCCTACCGTCCGATCGCGCAATTCCGGGTAACGGGAGAATTTAGATGTCGAAGTTTGACGTGCTCTTCAAGGCCGAACGCGGCCTGTCCCACTCAACTGACTTCAATTGGCTGCAGCTGCTACCACCAACCGCTGACCATCTCCATCACGAGTCTCAAATATCTAGCACCGAAGCGACCCGAACCCGGGCTCTCGCTACCGGGAGGCCAACGCTCCGCCAACTGAGCTACAGGACAGGCAATATTGCTATAGTACTGCGATTAATCAGTATACCCTTCTGCCAGGCGTGTTTCTTTTTTCCAACCAAAGGAAGGCGCTATACCCGAAGATGCTTCTTGGTAAACAAACCAAACAAAAACAAACATAACCTAACCTCACCTGACCTAACCTACAACCTACAAACCTACAACCTACAACCTAACCTACAATCTAACCTACAGACCTACAACCTACAAACCTACAACCTAACCTACAACCTAACCTACAACGCGCCAAAAAGTTCGGCCGGCGGCGGGGATCGAACCTTAGTTATTAGATCACGAGACGAGTGTGCTCACCACTACACCACGCAGCCAGCTGGCCGGAGAGAGGTGTAAGTCACTTTTCAATGACGCAATGGGATATTCTCCGTATAGCGCCTTCCTTTGGGTGGAAAAAAGAATTACGCTTCTGCCAGGTATTTGTGACACCTCAGACCTCACCCTTCCCCTACAGGTCCCCATAGGTCTGTTTGGCCCGATACTACCCCAGCTGCCTGTATCTGATGGACGGTAACCGGTCCCCCGTCCTCAGCGCGTGGCTCTCTCTGGCGGTGACGCTAGCGAAGCGTCGTCGGCTGGTGGAACATGAGTTGCGGGGGGGGGGGGCTGGGCAGGGGCACTGATGCAGGACAGCCGCCACCCCAGCATGGTCCAGGCCGTGTTTGTACTCTGTTTGATGGTTCCTTCTCTCTTGGGAGACCGCAGCTAATGGATTTGCGGACTCGTCTACTGCGGCGAAAACAGCCACCGATGGCCGTGACGCCGCTGGCTTCTGGGAGTCCGCGGCGGGACATTCAGTGGCGTGACGTGACCTCCGACCCGTGCCACTGTGGCCGTGGATGCTCCTTTATTCGAGTTCTCCTTTCCGTGTGGCTGGCATTTATGACAGCGGCTGCCAAAGTTTTGACATCCTGGAAGTTAAGTGACACGAGATGCGATGCGAGAGATCGTTCGTTTTCCCCTGTGAAGGGTCGTTGAATTTAGACAGCCTGTCGTCAGAAAACAGACTGTATCAGCGGTCAGCACGTGATGTGAATCATCCGTTAATTGACACACTTCGCGACAGACATGCGACTGGTTGACATGTTATCTTTGTTTGCGCCCTTTATGAAATTCGATACCCGATCAGCTGAAACAAAGTCCATCGCCAATGTGCATGAATTATCCTTTACGAGGCTGCTCAATGGCATGCAATGGTCGGGGTGCATTGCTCGTGGCACGCCACGGGGGTGTCCTTTGTAGGCTGAGCGCCGCGTGCCGGAGCTATGACTGTCCGCCTGCCATGTAGGGGCGAGGCGACACGTCACCCGAGCCGATGGAACGGGACAGGCGGGGGACCACCCGGTAGCGGCGCCGAGCGACGGGTGCTCGGTGGGACGGTGTGCCGGCGCAGGGTATATTGAGTGAAGGGTAGGACGAACTTTGGTAGGAATTTCTAGTATAACTACTAGAAAACCTACTATATGTGGTCGGGACTAGCAAAAAGTTAGTTCAATCTAGAATATGGTAGCGCTTATGGTTGGCAGTCGTGATGCGCACGTGACAATCATTTCTTAAATTTCTTAAATAACAGGTTTTAAGGGCCGATTAGTGGGCAGATACATTCAACTAGCTATTAATAATTGATTATGCAAACATTCAAGAATCTACATCATTTAATTCTAGCCTAAATCACGCGGCGCTCCCAGGATTTGAACTCACGACCCTCGGATCTGTAGCCCGATACGCTACCGACTGCGCTACCGAGGACCGCGAACCGACGATCGGAGAGGCGGATCGCGGGTGCTGGCGTGCAGAGAAATCTTTACCCCGTACGCCGTAGAAGATCGGCTGGGTTTCGTGAAAAATGTTAGAGGAATTGTCGAAAGAAAATTCATCGATCTATCATTTGAGACTAAGAACCATTGATTCCTTCAAAGGTTGACCGAGATATCGCTCGCCGAAAACAGGCCATTTAACATGTAAACCCTATGGGCTGGTAGGAAATGTACGCCGTGGAGCAGCAGTGCTACCAACTAACTTCGGCGGGGGCCGTGCCGGCGCGCCGCCGCCGCCGCCACCGTGTCCCCGGCTCGGCGGTCCCGCCTGATCACCTACCGTGGATTCACGGCCGGGACTCAGCAGCCCGGTACCCATCGGCTGGGTCACCGAGGATAACAATATTTCATGGTCAAAGTGACTCTCCAACCCGTTCGTATCGACTCCTTGTCGTATTCCCACAACTTGGGCCTCTCATTGAGCGCGGGTGATATACTGGACATTGAACACATACAGTGATCAGTGAACTCATTCCTTTTTCCCATGGCGCTTGTGGCGTGTTCGGTGTCCGTAGCGATCAGCGCAGTCAGCGCGTCTGCTGTCGGCTGGTATCTGGTATTGGTGTACTGTGGCCGCTGGCGTTGATTTGATCTGCCTCCACTGCCTCAGCTCTATGGTCCAGCCCCCTAGCTCTGTAGCTCCATGTCCACAGAGCTGCACCTGTGGCCGCGGCTGCCTTTCTCGGGCGTGTGCGTTACTTGGCAGCCCCAGCCGGCCGGGAGGCGTGAGGCTCAGTGGTAAATTGTGGGTCCGATCGATACCGATAGGAGTTTGACCAGAGTAACGGCCGTGCCGGGCATGACCAGCGCTCATATTGAGGTTGAGGCTGGATTTTCCGTGAAGTCAGGCGGGAACATCAGTGACTGGTGGGCACTGCAGCAACCAATGTAGCTTTTTCGAAAACTATGAATTTGCAGTCGCTGAGCCGGTAGTCATTAAGGCCTGGCTACACTATGCGTTTTCTGCGTGCGTTTTTGCAGAATTGCGTGTTTTGCGTAATATCGTTCTAGGAAAAAAGTTATAAACAATATAATTTTTACCTTGGTTATATACAAAGCTAATATAACTCTTATGTAACTAAAAAATTAAGGTGAAAAACATCACAAAAACGTAATATCGTTCTTTTTTCTAGAACGATATCACGCAAAACACGCAAACACGCAAAAAACGCACGAAGAAAACGCATAGTGTAGCCAGGCCTTTAGTCGATAATGTCATGTGTTTTGCATATTGCACGGCGTTTTTCAGTTTGCCCCCTCAGCGATAGGTTTATTTTAGTTGACTCCCCTTACCAACAGCTCATATATGTTTGTAAACCGATGCCGTTATATCACAACATGCCTCTGTGAAGCGTGTCCCTTATTACCGTTCGCTGCCATCTGACTGGCTCAGTCGCCCGTCGGACTCGTTTCACTCATCCGACAGGTTCTCTAATTAATGAACCCTTCAGGCTGATCCACTCTTGGAACTGTGTGTGTGATAAATCTATTTCTGAGACTAGCTGGTGCTATATGTGTGCCATCGCAGGGCCAACTAATTATAGCTTCTCATTAAAGGTAGTGTGCCAGC